CCACACACTGCACGTGGTGAGAGGCTTGGGGGAAAGAAGCACCAGCCCCAGGCACCACAAACTGAAAAATGTCCACACTGCAGGGAGGCAACCTGGGCCAGCCCCCGTGCCTGGACTGCGGGCAGTTTGAATCACAGAAGGCTCTAGCCTGGCAGTTAGTGCCAGCCTTTCACGTGGCCCTGCCTGTCTGCAGCCAGGGGACCCAGCAGCCCCCAGAGGGTCTCCCAAAGCAGAAAAGGCTGACGCTGGCACAGGGGAACCTCCACCCATGTCCCAGTCTGACGGGACCCAGACACAGCGACTGCCAGGCTCAGGGGAGAGGCTGTCAGATTTGCCTCCGACTTGTTCCCACGGCTCTGTGACCATCCTCGCAGGACCGGAGCTGCCTCCCGGGCCTGCGGCCCAGCCGTGGGCTGTGCCGATGCCCACGCCGCGCAGAGTGGGCACTCACTCTCATCAGAGCAGCTTCCGTGTCTCTCGGTAAATAGCGAGGCTGGGGATTTTTGGGGGTTGTTTTCCAGTGAGATGGGTAGAAGCACCAATTAGACACAAAGATCAATGATTACCTGCTGCCCTATGGTTCAAAATGAAACAAGAGAGGCAGGCCACTAGCAAAGGTTAGTTAACGCCATTCACTGCAGCATGATGGTGTCACTGCCAGCTTCTTTCAAGGTGAGACGAGACAGTAGTTTTTCAAACACAAACAAACAAAAGAGAACATTAATATGAAAGGCTGCAAAAGAAACAGCCCCCAGGTCTTGCTGCGTGGAGGCCGTGGAGGCCGGCTGCCTGGCGGGGAGGACAGGCAGCCTGGGTGAAAGGAGCCGGCGCCGAGGGCAGGAGCTGGGCAGGAGGCCAGGAGCCCCACAAGAGGCCGTGTGGGCATCTGGGGCAGCGCCAGGAGAAGGGCAGGGGCCAGTGAGGGAAGTGGGGGGCTCCGTGGTTGTGGCTTTTAGTCTCCTCATGTTTGACGCCTTTCCCAGGCAGGAGCAAGGAGGCAGCAGGAAAGCGAGGGAGCGCCGCGTGAGGTGCGGGCCAGGGCCTCAGCCACCTTGGGACACGCAGGAGGCGGCGCGGGGTGACAAGGTGGTGCACAAGGCGGGAGCGGGGCCGTCGCGGGGAGCTGGGCTGTGCGGCTCTGGGCGCTGCTGCCATGAGCAGCGCAAGCTGCGAGCGCGACC